TTATTTATGTATATTCAAGGAAAATTTGTCAATTACTACCGTGTAGTAATGTCATTTTAAAAATTACTAGCTTGAATTAAAAATCTTGTGAATTACTACAGTAAAAAAATTAGAAAATTTGAGTTTACTACCAGGCTTCACTTTAGACCATTTATGACATCACTTTAATTTATTTTTCCCCATAATCCGCCTTTATTACCCTTGGTTAACCATTTAAATGACTCCTAAAAAAGAGATAACAAAATCCCTCCTAACCCATGGTTACCCTAGCTAACTAATCTTTCTCATTCACCATTGCTAAAAATCCTCCAAGCTTCTTGCTCTAAATTCAAACTAGTTATTTTTATCTATCCTCGAATTGCGCTTGGTGAACATGTAATTCGCCTCTAATAAATTTGTATTTTAGGGTTAATGGATTATGATTTTGGTTGATTAACATAGGGTTTTTGAATTTTTCTTTGTATTAAGCTATCAATTAAGCCTAATGTGTGATTTTTTGTTAAATTAAGTTATTAATGAATTCTAGTGTCGAATTGTAAATTGTTCGAATTTCTGGTTAATCTTGCGCAAAGTAAAGGATTCGTTGCAGAGCAAATGATTTGGGAAGCCAATTTGTAGAGTATACTCAATGGAGGTTGAAGGTTAGAGGGTCAAAGTGAAGTTATGAGAGAGAAAGAAAGGAAAGGGTTTGTAAACCGCTACTTCAAGTAGCGGTTTTCTTCAAAACACCGCTACTTGAAGTAGCGGTTTATGAAATTAAAACCGCTACTTCAAGTAGCGGTTTATGGGTTTGTTTTTTATGGGTTTGTTTTGTAAGTTTTTCTTTAAAAACAAAATATCTGTAAATCAGTAATTAGTAAATACTTGAAGTAGCGGTTTTTAGTAGCACACCGCTACTTGAAGTAGCGGTTTTCTAATAAACCCGTTTTTTTAAAAAAATTCCCACTGAACCGGTGACGTGGACGATATGGTGGGAATTAAAAAAAGACTAGCTGTAATTTGGGAATTAGGGCCTGTTCATATTTACTTATTTTCAGTTCAGTTCAGTTCAGTTCAGTTCAGTTCAGCTCCAATCATTTCAGTTCAGCTCTAATCAGTTCAGTTCAGTTCAGTTCAGCTCCAATCAGTTCAGTTCAGTTCAGTTCAGCTCTTAATTTCCCTCTCTCATAAAATATTCATTTCAGCTTAGTTCAGTTCAGTTCAGTTCAGTTCCAATCAGTTCAGTTTAGTTCAGCTCCAATCAGTTCAGTTCAGTTCAGCTCAGTTCAGTAAATATGAACAGGCCCTTAGATAATTTCCCAACATTATTTAGGGAAATGGCTCATAGTAAAATCAAAATATTTGAGTTTTTACGGTAGTGATTCACAAGATTTTTAATTCATGGTAGTAATTTTTAAAATGACATTAATACACGGTAGTAATTCAAAATTTTCTATATTCAATCATCGGGCATTTTAGGAAATACATCATTTATTACATTTTTTTAAAGAAACATTTATTATTTCTAAAATATAGAGTATCAAAATAGTACAAAGATTTGAATCTACTAAGAACTCGTACTCTTCATTTTACAATAATAATATGGAGTATTTAATAAAAAAATGATTTATGTTCAACATGAATATGTTCAATTCAGTGAAATTATTTTATTTAATAAAGTTCAATAACTTTAAAGCTAAGAACAAATGTAACTAAGAAAAAGTGAATATAAGTTTTAATAAGTAAAGTAATATCAATTTAGAAATGCTTTTTAAGACCCTCATATACCCGAAAATGGTTTGAAGCCACCCAACAACCACCACCACATCCTCACCCCACACGCGTAGCTTCAATTGGCCGGCACAAAACCCACCATCCTCCCTACCCCTGACTACCGAAACCCATCATCCCCCTCCCCAGACCACCGGAGCCCATGTCCCTCCCATTCCGCACCTGTAAACCATCCTAACCAAAACCCTGAATTCTAAAACGACCATGAAAACGGCCAGTTATGGCCGAAATCGGCCGGTTTTGGGGCTGAGTGGCCTAAACCGGTCAATAATGGCCGAAATCATGTTCATTTTTTGGGAAGGGGGGTGCGATTTGGGGCTGGTCGGCGATTTGAAGCTAGTCGCGGTTATGGCTGCAGTTATGGTGGGTTTCAGTGGGGCTGGGTTAGGTTGGGGGAGGAGGTGTGCCGGTGATGAGGTGCAGGTTGGCGACTGTGCTTGAGAGGGCGGACAGGGAGGCGGTTGTGGCGCTAGGGTGGCTGGGTAGTGTTAAATTAGGATATTTTATTCATTTATTTTTTGTTTTTCTTGACCAAACAACAAGCGACACATACGTGTCAATGTAGACCCTACTTAAACGATTTATGGACGGAATCTTTTAAGTGGTGGTAAATTTTCAAAAAAATATTTGGTGGTAAAATTTTCTTTAATATATTAAAAATATTTTCAGTTTAGTGAAAAAAAAAATTTCAACAAAAATAAGTTAAAGTGAACAGAGCCTAAATACTTAATTAATCAGCCAATAAGGTAATGCATGAGGGTTCCTTTTACCTAAAGATAAAGGAACTATATAGCAATTATTTTAATTTAAAAGTATAAATTCAAAGGGGAACGTCTAAAGCGAAATACATAAAGAATTTAAAGAATGGAAGGAGTATCATTACTACGAGTAGTCAAAAACTCAAAACTTATGCTTATATCGTGGATCAACTAAATTATTCATAATGCCTCCAAAAAAAAAAAAATAATATTTAATTTATTTTGATCCATTTTTTATTTATTGTAATTGGAAATGATATATGGATGATAATTATAGATATTTTTCTGTTTTTTTGAATATTTTAGTTGGAAGATTATGGTAATACTCCATTATTGGACTGAAATTAATGTAGGTTTATAGAATAATCATAGAAGGGGTATTATAACCCCTGCTTTACATTAATAACAAAGATTGATTTTGTTCCATTTTTAGCTGATTTGTAAATGATACTCCGTATATGGATGGTAACTACAGATATATTTCCTTTTTTGAATGAATTTTTTTTTGTAATACTCTGTATTAATTATTGAATGAAATTAATGTAGGTAGAGAAAAGGAGGTTTTTTTTTTTTTTTTTTTTTTTTTTTTTTAAAAGGCCTTTAATTACTCCTAATTTCTTTTACCTTAATGATACTCCCTATGTCCCTTAATTAGATTCCTATATTATCATTTATTATTCCTCACATAATAGAGACTTAGGTTCCTCACATAATAGAGACTTAGGGTCTGTTCTCTTACGTTGAAATTCAGTTCAGTTCAGTTCAGTTCAGCTCAGTTCAGTTCAGTTCATTTCAGCTCAGTTCAGTTCAGCTCAGCTCAGCTCCTTATTTCCTTCTCTTATAAAATATTCTGTTCAGTTCAGTTCAGTTCAGTTCAGCTCAGCTCAGCTCAGTTCAGTTCAGTTCAGCTCCTTATTTCCTTCTCTTATAAAATATTCTGTTCAGTTCAGTTCAGTTCAGCTCAGTTCAGTTCAGTTCAGCTCCTTATTTCCTTCTCTTATAAAATATTCAGTTCAGTTCAGTTCAGCTTAGTTCAGTTCAGTGAATGAGAACAAACCGTTAGAGAGAAGTAAGAATCTAATTAAGGGATGAAGGGAGTATAGATTATCGCAAGAAACTTCAATTGTAATGTCAATTGAAAGTAGAGTGTTGTGATGTTGAACTAAGGGTCTGTTCACATTTACTTAATTTCAGTTCAATTCAGTAAGCTCCAATCAATTCGGCTCCAATCAATTCAGTTAAGTTAAGTTTAGTTCAACTCTTATTTTCCCTTTCTCATAAAATATTCATTTCATCTCAGTTCATTTTCATTTTCATTTCAGCTCCAATCAGTTCATTTCAGTTTAATAAATTTGAACAGACCCTAAAGCATAAAAAATACTCCTACATATACATATAAACTTTTTATTTTTTTTTTTTTTTTTTTTTTTTTGACGGGATACACATAAACTCTTATCATGCATTATTCTTAATTAGGAATATCAAAGCACTATATTATTACTCCCTCCATCCCAAATTACTCGCAACAATTTTGACTTTTTGCACAATTCACACATCTCCCTTTGACCATCTTTTTTTTTTTTTTTTTTTTTTTAAACTATTATATGAAGTCAATGTAATCATGTAAGATGTTTGGGTCTATTTTAATGAATAGTTTCTTAATATAAACTTTTTAAAATATATAATAAAAGATATCAACGATCAAACATGTACATTGACAAACGTGTCTAGTCAAAATGTTACAAGTAAAATGAGATAGAGGGAGTACTAATTTTTACTTATTAAGTGTTACAAATTAAAATACATTTAACATGCTTCGTGAAATACAATTTGATTATAAGACTAGACAAGTCCATTATACAAATTGATCACATGTCAAATTGATCACATTATAGAAGATATCAAGATCCTACTTCGCAGATTCCCCCATTGAGAACTCTGACATGTCTACAGAGAAGTAAATAGAGCAGCAGATTGGATAGCAAATGTTGGACATATTGTCACCGACAAATTAGATGTTCCATTTTGTACCTCTTCAGCTTTATACCCCATTCTCACCTTTGATGCTTTAGGATCGCCCCTCGTGAGGAGGGGGTCCTATTTCTTTCCTTTTTCTTACCTAAAAAAAAGTCCATTATACAAATTAATAAAAAAATAACTAAATCGAATGATGGTTTATTATATTCCTTGGTCCCGTATGTATATATATATATATATATATATATATATATATATATGACTTATGACTTTAGTCAATTGCATAAGAAGTCTGCTTGAAAATTGAAAATTATGGGTGGTTGAGAAATTTCAAAAAAAAGTAAATAGAATTTCCGCCAACTAGTTGAGTAGGTAAGGCCAATTCACATTTGGCTGTACTAATAAATGAATTTTAATTATCATTTCCTCACAAAATAAGTCGTTGGAAAGGTCCTCAAAATTAATTTTCATAGAAATTACATAGGAAGTAATACTAACAATATTACTACTCACATAGTTGTAACGACCAACTGCCCCCCTATACAATATAGTACCGCTTGTACTAACGAATTTTCATTAGCTTTTTCCGTGAATTTACTTAACACAACCGATTCTAACAACTTGGTTCCTCCTATATATAAACCCAAGTCACTTCACCTTTGATTCACAACATTCCTCATACTTTCAACAACGAACATAACTTATTAGAGCAACACCTAAAGTATTGCCTCCTTTGTTTTTGCATAGTTATCTCACACAAATGGCTCAAACAACTCCCAATCACACACAAACTGTGTCCGGGTGGGCGGCTCATGATTCGTCTGGAAAAATGACTCCCTTTATCTTCAAAAGAAGGTATGTGTCTTTTTTAGTATTAAATAAAGTTAGCTTTATAACTTTTATGATTTCGATGAAGATTTGTTTACTACAGAGAAAAAGACTTGATCACTCGGCACTATCTGAAAAGTGACTTTAGCCGTGTGTACATCTTTATCGTTTATAAAGTTGTTATGTGTTTATGATTTTTTTACCGATGAAATTAACTACAACTTTAATCGTGATTAGGGAAAATGGAGTGAATGACGTGACAATCAAAGTGTTGTACTGCGGAATGTGCCACACCGATCTCCACCATGTTAGGAATGATTGGGGAATCACCATGTACCCTTGTGTTCCTGGGTAATTACTTTCATCTTTTTAATTTTTTAAAAATTAAGCGTGCTAATAATTTTGTAACATAAATTAATTTACATTTTTATGTGTAATAGGCACGAAATTACGGGATTAATTACAAAGGTTGGGAAGGACGTGACGAATTTTAAAGTGGGAGACAAAGTTGGAGTGGGTTGTTTAGCAGCTTCGTGCTTAGAATGTGAATTTTGCAAGACTTCTCAGGAGAATTACTGTGATCAGATTCAGTTCACATACAATGGTATTTTCTGGGATGGTAGCATTACTTACGGAGGATACTCCAAAATGTTGGTTGCGGACCAAAGGTACGTCTTAAGTCTTAATTATTTTATTATCGTACTATCAAACATTACTCTATATGTATTAATAAAGTCACATTAATGCTACTTAAATCTTCGGTTTTAAAATGTCACAAGTCTATTTTTGTTACTAATCTTCTCAAAGATGACCATTAAATGTGACTTATTTTAAGATGTTCGGATTTGTAAATTTCTCTTTGAATGCAACTAAACAATTGCTAAATTTTAGGTATGTGGTACGTGTGCCGGAAAATCTACCGATGGATGCTGCAGCACCAATGTTGTGTGCCGGGATCACGGTGTACTGCCCCATGAAAGACAGCAAATTGCTCGAACCATCAGGCACTCCCAAGAAAGTCGGGATCATCGGGTTAGGTGGATTAGGCCATGTTGCGGTTAAGTTTGCTAAGGCATTTGGCCATCATGTAACCATCATTAGCACCTCACCGTCCAAAGAAAAAGAGGCCAAGCAAAGACTTGGTGCTGATGATTTTATCGTGAGCACTGACCCGTCACAAATGAAGGTACTAATCACTTTCTACAAGTAACCCCTTTTGTCCGTAAATAATAGTCACATTTCGGATTAATTTGAATTAATATGGCAGGCCAAAAAGAGGACTCTGGACTTCGTATTGGATACAGTATCGGCCTACCATTCACTAGGACCATACTTGGAGTTATTGAAAGTTGAGGGAACACTTCACATTGTGGGCGCTCCTGACAAGCCCATGGACTTGCCTTCCTTTCCTCTCATTTTTGGTATGATTGCTCTTCCACCTTAGCTTCACATTTTCCAACATGTCTAAATTAATTATACTTCCTCCGCTCTTTTTTTATTGCATTATAAGAGGTTTTACACTTGACAATGCATTACTTTGACTATTAATATCTTTAATTATACTTTTGTAAAAATTATAGAAAAATTGATATTTGAAAAGTATATTTTGAGACGAATCTAAGATCCCACATGACTATGTTTTTCCTACTGGATTAATCACAAAAGATGGTAAAAAAAGATTAAGTGAATAGTGTAAAAGTCCTTATGGTGCAATAAAAGAAAAAAAAGGAGGAAGTAATATCTTTTGAATTTATCGTTATAGTATCAGTGTGACAACTAATAGTTTCAAACCGAAGATGCAATTGCTATATCTCTAGTAGCTTTGGATTACCACATCATTATTTTTCAAAGTCAATCATTTAAACTACAACTTTCCCAACGGCAAGCTGATACCTTTTGAAAAAAAAAGAGAGAGAAAATAAGAAATCACTTATTTAAAGTGAACAACACATGCTTTGGGTGAAGTGAAACTACATAACTTTGAAGAGCTACATAGTTTCACTAAAGCTACAACCCTTGTAATTCCACAATGGTAAAATACTAGCTCCAACTATTAAAAAATTGCAAACAAGGACCTATTTACAACAATTGCAGTTGCTCTTATAGTTAAAAATGTACTTGTAGGGTTGTAAATAGTAAACACTTGTTTTTTCACTTTAGTTTTGTTGAAATGGAACAATATATTTACACTGATTAAAATTGATACTCTTTCCGTCCATAAAATACATTCCTACTTCTAACATTTATTTCTCACATAATGGAGAGAACTAGAAATGTAATTTAGGGATGGAGGGAGCATTAATACATTACAATGTAAATTGATAGCTATAAAGTTGAACTTGATTTTCTGGACATTAATGTGTCAAAAACATAATTAGTGACAAAAATATCAATGTCAATTAATGACATTATTTTGCCAAAATCATAATTAGTGACAATGATATATGGAGTATATTTATTGGTTTGAGTACTTTCAAGAGATTTTTTTATTTTTTTTTATTTATTTTTCATGCTACCCTACTTTGATATTATAATGGAATTAATGTTATCTTACATACATTCCAATATTTAACGCATGCACGTATTATGTTCACAAAATGCTAGAAAAATCTAATTAAATTAGGAATTAGTTAACAATGTGTACAAATTGCTAGAAAAAACCTACTCCGTAATTAAATTACGAATTAGGCATTGTTCAATTCACCTTATAAAAATATTTAGTACAAATAATTTCAATTCAGTAAAAATAAGTCAGTTCAGCAAAAATAATTTCAGTATAGTAAAAATAATTTCAATATAGTAAAAATAATTTCAGTTCAGTCAAAAACAGTATATTTAAAGAAAAAATATAATAGATAATTAATAAAAGCAATTTCAATTCAGCAAAAATAATTTCAATTAAGTAAAAATTATTTTAGTTCAGCAAAAATAAGGTGAAATGAGTGGGGTTTTAGTTAAACAAAATCCGGATGGGCCAAAAATAAGGTGAACTAAAACGGGCCTTAGTTAATCAAAATCCGGATGGGCCATTGATAATAAAATTGATTCCAAACTAAACCCAATATGTATTGAAAAATGAACTCCTTCCTACTTATCTTTATACTCCGTAATTTGTATTGATTTGTATACAAATGCAACATAAATCTAAATTAAACTAAAAATGAATAATTCAATTTGCAGGAAAAAGAACAGTGAAGGGAAGCATGACAGGAGGAATGATAGAGACGCAAGAAATGATGGATATGTGCGGGAAATACAACATAAGTTGCGACATTGAAATGGTGACGCCTGACCAAATTAACGACGCTCTTCAACGTCTTGCTAATAATGATGTTCGCTATCGCTTTGTCATTGACATTGCTGGCAAGTCATCTAGACTTTGAATTTTTATCTTTCAATGCATGTGTGCTTTTAATTGACTCGTATGAAGTTATGAACCATGTGAGTGATATTAAATTCCTACATTATTCGAATTTAAATTGTTTCCATGATATTGTAAAATACTCCTACTATAGTGTAAGATATGTTAATTGGCTGATTGTTGGCCATGTTATATTCAATAAAATAAATGAATAAAAGTTTTCTTTTTGTTTCTTACTTTCAAGTGAACCAAATTTCCAATTATGCTTTTTTCTCTTTCCCTTATTTGAAATTTACTTTACATTAAAATTCTAAAAAAAAAAATCATTAAAAACATGGATTTCTTAATCTTGGGTAGAGTTTGGGTTTTGGATCGGGTAAACAAGTATGAGAAAATTTTACATGACATGTTTTGTCTCTCCACCTTATTTTTGTTTATATGAAATTCTTTTACCAATCATCAATTGTTTTTATAAAAATTTATTTTTTGCTGAATTTAAAGTACTTTTATCTTATAAAACTTTTTATTTTTTTATTTTTTTTAATTTTTTTTAAGATGGTTATTTTTATTGATCAAATAAAGCTTACTTTTTCTAAACCTATTTTATTTTTGCTAAATTTATATAAATTTTTTTGTTATGATGAAATTATTTTTAATTTACTGAAATTAAATTATTATTTATAATATTTGAATAAGGTGAAGGAAACACAGTCGAATTGTATTATGTGTCACCTACTTCTTGATTTTATTTATTTATTATATAAAGAGGTGGATGTTGCAACAAATTGATGATAATAAATTAATAATGCAAATGGATAAGATAAGATTGAAGTTTGCAATAAGTTTGTAATAAATATCAATGGATGGTGTCTTTAATGTCTTCTCTCCCTACTCTCATAATTTCATACTATTGTTTTGTAAATGTTAATTTGAATATGTGGAATTCGTACTGTCCATATATTACATAATACTGTACCACTAAAATTGTGAGTTTCAACTAATTCATTCTTTTGTCCAATTTCAGGAAAAGAATGAAGTTGGGATCATGTTATATTATCATAGTTGGGTGGAAGTAGAAATTGACTACCGGATCATGGAATTAAAAGTTAATTTTGCAGATCTTTATTACAATATTTTGGATTAAAGTATTAAAATTTGTATTATGGAGATTATTCTTTTATGCTTTTATAATATGACTGAATTTCAATTACTCATTTCGTCTGTAAGTTAATTTTATTTTGAATCTTTACAAATTCTAATGCAAAAAAAAAAAAAAAAAAAAAAAAACTCTTAGTCCATCTCATCGATTCAAATGCATTTTGATTTTAATCTAGTTGACAACAAGTACGTGCATGAAGCGTACAACACAGGCACGTGTTAGAATCCGCCTCATTCTCTTTGTATCCCCTTCCCTTTTCCTTGTATTTTCCCGTATGTAGTGTCTTTTAAGTCTTTCTTTTTACTTTCTAGTCTCTAGGGAGAATTATTGTGTTACTGTCGTTTCAGCGTTCACTTGTAATTCTCTACTAATGCAATATAAAGCTCTTTAGGGAGTGATGATTAATGAATCAAAGCTCTCTACCCCTTTGCTATTGCTTTAAGACTTGTGTGTTGTTTTAAGCCTTTATATTAATATTGTGCTTGCCTTGTTTTAAAGAATCCCCACCAAACCAAGAGACCCTCAAAAGACGCCTTTATCTCGTCGGTTCCGCTTGTGCCCGCTTTGAAGTATTGGCCGTCACAAGCCCCGACTCCGCACCCGTAGTTGACGTGTGCTTTCTTGAGATACCTTTGGTCCGTATTGCTGTGTGCTCACGAACCTCTCTCGTTCTAGGCTTGCGTCCTTGTCGTCAATAGACAAGTGCGTGTCGCACGATCCGGTGTCAGAACTCTCGGACCGTGACAGTTGGTATAAGAGCCAAGGCTCGCTTTAAAGTCGCCCAACATGGTGATGCCTGAACATGCTGATGTGTGGGAAGAAAGAATTGCTTGGATTGAAGGCAAGTCGGAATTTTGGGCTGTAGTCGAAGAAAGAGTACCCAAGCTCGAAGATATAGTAATAAAGCAAGCTGAGCAAATAGAAAAGCTTGAGTCGACGGTGGATGGGTTGACGGAGCAGCTCAATTTCGTCCAAGGAGTAGCGGACAAAGCTCAAGACAAATATGCTACCTTAATGCGTGCCCAAAGAGCTCTCGGGGGAAGTGGGAGTAAGATAAAACCTTCTAAACCTCGGACCTTTAACAGTACAAGAGACTCAAAGGAAGTTGATAACTTCATGATATGGAACAATACTTTCGCATATGTCAATTGAAAGATGATCTTAAGGTCGACACAGCCACAATGTACTTGGTGGATTATGCAAAGCTCTGGTGGCGAACCAAGTACGCCAACATACAAGCAAAGAGGACGTCGGTAGATACTTGGGAGGATCTAAAGAAGGAGCTCATAGACCAACTTTACCCAGAGAACACTGAATTCGTGGCCCGTACCAAGTTGGCAACCTTACAGCACAAAACCTCTATCTGGGAGTATCTGAAGGAATACTCGGCGTGCATGTTGGAGATTCATGACATTTCGGAGAAAGACTGGCTATTCAACTTTGTGCGAGGTCTTAAAGATTGGGCCCAGAGAGAGATATGGCGTCAGAAGATTGATACCTTGTCAGGTGCTATAGCTGCAGCTGAAAGGTTGATGGATTACTCCTTGGAAAGGGCGCCTAACCAGAAGAAGGGGAACGTTGGGTCAGCTTCAAGTACCCCGAAGAGCATTGGCGGTAATTCTCAGGCTAGCTCGAACAGTGTGGGGAACAGATATAGGAATGGGGGAGAAGACTCGCGAAAGAGTGGAGTCGTTGCGTCCACAAACAGAGGTGGGTCTTCTAGCTCATCATCATGGAACAAACCCCTCACTTGTATACTCTGTCGAGGAGCGCATAAATGGTTCGAGTGCCAACACAAGGCGGAAATAGACAACCTCCAGAAGAAACTCTCTTAAATGTCCTCTGTACCTACTAAGGAGGATGACAAAGAGGAGGAAGTAGTAAGCGAAGAAGAACCCTCCAAGTTGGGAGCAGTGTACTATATGTGTGCAATGGGAAAAGATACGTCAGGAGATAAGAGTCGAGCTACTAGTCTAATGTACGTTAATGTCTTGATCAATGGGAAGAAGGCCCGGGCGATGGTTGTTATGGGAGCTACTCATAATTTCGTGACAAAACGTGAAGCGAATAGATTAGTTCTGAAAGCCATGCATAGTGGGGGTCGAAAGAAGACTGTGAACTCTGAAGCACAACCAACTTGCGGGGTAGCAAGGAATGTGAACACTAAGATTAGGGAGTGGAGTGGAACTCTGGACTTCACAGTGGCTTCAATGGATGATTTTGAACTGGTTCTCAGGATGGACTTCCTACACACCAGTAAGGCTTTCCCGATGCCCCATCTAGGGTCCTTACTTGTGACAAGCCACCAACCGTGCCTCTTGCAAGCATACGGTCAAGCGAAAGAAGGAAAAGAAGTGAAGGGTCCTCTCCTCTCGGCGATGCAACTCAAGAAGGGGATTATGAGGAATGAACCTACGTTCCTCGCTACTCTCTCGATGAAGGATGAAGAGGACGAGGAGTACATCCCTTAGGTCATAAGAGAGTTACTTGGGGAGTACTCAGATATCCTTCCCAAGGAGCTCCCAAAATCTCTTCCCCCTCGAAGAGCCATAGATCACAACATTGAGCTGGTGCCTGGTGCAAGACCACCCGCGAGAAGTCCTTATCGGATGGCACCTCCAGAGCTCACAGAGTTACGCAGACAATTAGATGGGTTGTTGGAAGCGGGATTTACCCGACCCTCAAGAGCTCCTTATGGGGCACCGGTTCTTTTCCAGAAGACGCAGGATGGGAGTTTGAGATTGTGCATCAATTATAGAGCCTTGAACAAGTTAACGGTAAGAAATCATTATCCGATCCCCTTGGTGGCAGACTTGTTAGACCAACTTGGAGATGTTGTGTACTTCACCAAACTTGATCTAAGGTCCGGCTACCATCAGGTTCGAATTGCTCAAGGAGATGAACAAAAGACGACTTGCGTCACCAAATACGGAGCGTTCGAGTGGTTGGTCATGCCATTTGGGCTAACGAATGCTCCTGCGACATTTTGTACATTGATGAACCAAGTCTTCCATGACTATTTAGACAAGTTCGTGGTTGTTTACTTAGACGACATCGTAATCTTCAGCAACACCCTTGAAGATCACTTAGAATACTTGAAAAATGTGTTCGAAAAATTGAGACAACATCATTTGTTCGTGAAGAGAGAGAAATGTGAAGGAGTTATGTCTTCGATAAGTGCAATTACTAGATATATCAAGGATCACTATTATGGAGATAATAAGTTCATTCTATAGGGACGTCAATGTTTGGTGCTAGATATGACAATTGATCTTTGGGCTAGCTTAATGGCCTAAAGCCTTATAGAATGGATCCTACAAGGTCACACATAAGAGTATTGGGTTAAACAAGTTAGAGGCCCATTATTGGGCCTCATGAGTTCATGACATACCATGTTGATAATTGGGCTTGGATAATTAGAAGAGTCTAATGGGTTTTGGACTTGACATGGTTTTATTTCTAGATATGATCTATAAATATAAACCGTGCCTAGGGTTGCATGACACAACAATTGACATACAGTGAATTGTCACACAAGCAACCAGTTTTTCCTAAAAACCCTAACTCTCTCTCTCTACTCGGCCCTCTCTCTCTCTTCCCTGTCCGTACGGCCCTCCTCCTTGGGTGGCGCGTGTGGTGGCGCGTGGGTGGTGTTGTGGTGTGTTCATGGCTCAAATCTCCGTTGAAGGTTGATTGAAGTGTTCAGTCACAACTAACTAGCATTAGTGGAGATTTAATCCATGCTCGTGGACTAAGTAGAGGAATAACGCTTGGGGTTCTTTATCTCCCATTGTTCTTGCTCGATCGCACGTGGAATCACGCTTCAAAGGTACGATTATATGTTCTTTATGTGTTATGCATTAGATCTTGGGATTAGGTATTGTATGAATATGATTCATGTTTTTCTGCTGCGTAGTACCTATAATTCCCTACAGTGGTATCAGTTAGCCTATTGCATTTACGCATATTGACTATAATTCTTTGATAGTCCACAATTTTAATTCAATTAAGAGGGAGAATAATTAATTATGGTTCAATCTTTATATTAAATGGAGATTTAATTTTTGGGATATGATTAAATATGATTTAATGCTCAATTGTTCTAGCAAAATCTGAATTTAGCCCTAGTTTTTTTTTCGAAAATTTTAATTGAAATAAAGCCCTAAATTTTGATTTTTGTGCTTAATTTTGATGATTTTCGAATAATTTATGCTTCATAATTTTAATTAGATTGATTTGATACATAAAATATAATTTTTTGTATAATCAATATTTTAATTTAAGAGTTAGATTAAAATTGAATTAATTT